AGGAAACAGGAGCTCACCCTGTTAGCGCGAAGGCTGGACTCGAACCGCTGAAGCGTCGACCACTTCTGGCCGGCAACTTTCAGGGTAAACGTCCCCAGATCCTTGCAAGGCTTGGCCTGTGGTTCTCCCCTCATCTCAGTAGACTTCTGAATGGGTTGGTGTCCCTCTGCAGTGCCCAGAGCTGGGTCCCATATTCCCAGTGGGGTCTGGCCAGGGCAGAGGAGGGGAACAAGGGCCCTCCATGTTGGCTTCAAAACAGGATCAGTTTGAAAAGCTGCCCGTTGTCCAGCTGCTCTTTCAGTTCAGAAGGTGGCCGGAATCCCCTCGCTGGGCCTCAGGACACCTCCACATCGCCCTCTTCCCCCTCCTGCACGTTCCAGCCAACTGCCCCCCCGCCCCCTGCAGCAAACCTTGTCTAGAGTTCCCTTCAGCTGGCCAAGCTGGGGGGAGGCACCAAAATGGACAGGCAGCCCCTTGCCTGTGCCCTCTTTCTTAAGGCAGCCTGTGGGCACTGGCCATGTGGGGAGCTATGGAGTTGCCTCAAGAAAAGCCCGCCCCGTGGAGGAAGAAGAACCTGAAGCAGCAGCGAGGAGATCCGAGGGAGACGCAAGTCCCTGCTCGCCCCCAGGTGCCAGGCCAGGGAAAGCTCGCCAGCACAGTTGCCCAGCAGAGACGATGGCACGGACCACAAGAGCATAGAACCAGTCTCCCCCGTGCCCCTGTGCCCTCCTGCTTAACCTCTCCATGAGACTGCTGGGTGAGGCTGTGCATCGGCTGGGGGTTCCGGCTGCTGACGCTGCTCGGCTTTCCGTCGCCTGGCCTGGGCTGGGCTGGCCTGGGCTGGGCTGCTGAGGCTGCCGAGATCTTGTCTGGGGGCCTGAGGCCACGAGGGCCTGGGCATGGGCTGGCCTTGAATTCGTGCAGGCACTGTTTGTCCACCGGGGCACTTGGGCGGCTCCACGGGTGTCTCTTGCTGAGGAAGCACAGCCCCGGAAGGAGCAGACCCACAACTTGGGGTGGGGGGGTGTTCCCCTGGAGTCGTAGTGCTGCTGGAATCACAGCTGGAAGCTGCGGCTGGTGCACCAGCTGTGACCCTACCTACCTGGACCTTGCCACAGAATCTCATGCCCCTCTCACCACCTGCCTCAGTTACTGCAATATTATTATCTTTTATCCTGCCTTTTTTATATATAACTCAAGGTGACGAACATACCTAATCCTCTTTCCTCCCCCATTTTCCCCACAACAACCACCCTGTGAGGTGGGTCGGGGTGAGAGAGAGGGACTGGCCCAGAGTCCCCCAGCCGGCTTTCATGCCTAAGGCAGGATTAGAACTCACCATCTCCTGGTTTCTAGGCCGGCTCCTGAACCGCCACCCGAAACGTGCTCTACGCAGGGCTGCCGTTAACGGCCACGTGGGAGTGCAACGGCCGGTACGTTACCCAGCCGTTGTGGGTGGGGGCATGTTACCCCTCCTGGCGCCACCAGGTGCAGCTTCTGCTGGGGGCTGAGTTGCACCACCTTCATGGCTTGGCCCGAGCTACCTTCGGGACTGGGCTTGCCCACCAGCATCAGCCCAGCCTATCCTCACAGGGAATCGCAGCTGGCGGCTCCCAGCTTCGGGAGTGTGGGGGGCTGAGACACGGAGGTGCTGCCTTTCTGCAACAGCACCAGCCCCCTGGAATGGCTCCCCCGCCCCCGAACTTAGATTAGCCCGGGCCTCGGCCACCTTCATCTCCAGGAAACCTCTTATTTGGGGGACTGGTTTTTGCATTTTCTGGCCTCTGCATTTCAGGCTTTTGTACGCTTCCAGTTTCGCTTGGAGTGTGGGTGTTTTGATGGTTTTTGCATTCCTGTAAAGCTCCTGAGAGTCCTGCGGGGGTTGTAAATGGAATCCATCCGAGGGGCGCAGCTGCCGTGAGCAGAGGTGCCTGCAGTCCCCGATCTCCCCCATCGCCCTTCTCTGCACCTGTATCTAGGTGCCCTCGTCCAGATGTCCCGATGCCCTTGCCCAGCTCGGCCGTGCCCAGCTGGTGCTCTAAATCACGGGGAACCCTGGAGGCTCATCTGCGCTTCCTTCCGCAGGGCAGAAGAGATGGCCAGCTGGCCCTGCCTCCTGGTGCTCGGCCTCTGGGCGCTGGCCCCGCCGGGGAGCGCGGCTTGCCCCTGCCTGCCTCTGTGCCAGTGCTTTGGCAACGCCACCGTCTTCTGCGCGGGGAAAGGCCTCTCAGGCGTCCCAGACGAGCTGCCCTCTGGTGCCACCCAGCTGCTCTTCGTGGGAACGTCGCTGGACTCTCTCCCGTGCCGTGCCTTTGCCCCGCGCAGCAACCACAGCAGCGCCCTGGCCAAGCTGTCCTTCCTGGACTCCCCGCTCCGCTCTCTGTCCAAGTGTGCCTTGGCGGGGCTGCCCCACCTGCAGGAGCTGGACGTCACCCTCAGCCAGCTGGCCAGCCTCCCCCGTGGGGCCCTCCTCGGCCTGCGCAGTCTGAGCAAGCTGGCCGTCAAGTTCGGCCCCCTCGAGACCCTGGAAGAGGGGCTCTTCGACGGCACCCCGGGGCTGCAGGCGCTGCACCTGCAAGGGAACAGGCTGGCGGCTCTGCCCCCACTGATCTTCCACCCGCTCGTGGGCCTGCGGTCCCTGTCTCTGGCTCAGAACCGGCTGGCGGAGCTGCCCACGGAGACCTTCCAGCCCCTTCGGCGGCTCCGGGAGCTGAGGCTGAGCGACAACTGCCTGACGCGCCTCCCGCCACAGCTCTTCTGGCCCCTCCCGGAGCTCCGGGAGCTCTTTCTGGATGGGAACGGCCTGGCTGAGCTGCCCGGGGGACTCTTTGCGGGCCTGCGGCGGCTGCGGCGGCTGCATTTGCAGCACAACGCCTTCCGGCACCTGGAGCCACCCTCCCTCTTCTCCCCACTGCCCTGCTTGGCTTTCCTGCTGCTGGACGGCAACCAGCTGGTGGAGCTGCCTGCGGGGCTCTTCCAGGGGACCCCCAACCTGGTGGAGCTCTCCTTGACCCACAACCGGCTCCGGGAGCTCCCACGGGGGCTCTTCGGCAACCTCTCCGAGCTGTCCGTCCTCCGCCTGTCCCACAACTACCTCACCCGGGTGGCCGCGGGGGCTCTCCAGGGCTTGGCCGGCCTGGCCCGGCTGCAGCTGGGCCACAACCGTCTCGCCCTCCTCCCTGAGGGAGCCTTTGCCGACCTCAGCAGCCTGGAGGCCTTGGACCTGGCCGGCAACCGGCTGGAGAGCCTGCCGGAGGGGATCTTTGACGCCAACGAGGCCCTGGTCAGCCTGACTTTGGAGGGCAACCCCTGGGTCTGCGACTGCCGCCTGGCACCCCTGGCGGACTGGCTGCGGTCTCTGGACCACCCGTTCAGCTCCCGGGTCTTCTGCCGGGGTCCTGCCCCCTTGAAGGGCAGGACTCTCCTGGCTGCCAGGAAGGAGCGCCTGCTTTGCCCCCGTCAGCCTGGAAGTGCCCGTTGCTGAGAGGACGCTTGGGGCCCCTCCGGGGAGCCGGGCACCCTGGCCCAGAGTACTTAGAGGCTCAGGCAGTTGGCTGATGAGGACCGGAGGTCAGCCAGTGTTGAGAAGGGCCCCCCTGCCACGCCCAGGCAGCCGGGCGCCAGCAGGCAAGGGCATTTCCCAACCCAGACATTTCTGCAGCCCCGTTGGGGTGGGGGATAAACACTTTTCTGGGGGTCTCCTGTTGGACAGCTGGATACATGTTGAAATGCACCCCCACCTGCAGCTTCTGTGCTGCGGTGCCTAATGTGCGGGCGGGGGATGTTGTATCTCGCAGTCCACAGCTGGCGTCCCTGCAGTGAAACTGCCACAGCCTTATGGGGGAGGGGGAGGGGGGGCGCAGGCTGAAGAGGTCCCTTCTTCTGCTTCCCCTGGGAGAAGGGAAGTGGGAGAAGTGGGTCTTGCCTGCCCTGGGGGGCACCCCAAAGCCATGCTGCCCCACCTCCTCTCCCCTTCAGCTGTCCCCCCCCTTATCTGGGTGTACCTTCCCCTCGGCTAAAATAGGGGCCCGGGTGAAGGCGCGAGAGAAGCAGGGCAGCCCCCCCCGCCCCTAAATCTATCTTGGAACAAGTTGCCACAGGCTGACTGTTGAGCACAGCTTGTGGGGCAGAGCCAAAAAACGCCCCTTTGAAAGCAGCCCAGGAAAAGAGGGGCCAAGGCTGTCTTCATGGGGGGCTGTGGGGGAGCTCCAGGCGCACCAGCCTCCCCACCCCCCAAGCAGCCGAGAAGAGAAGGCGGCTGCTCCAGCGCCAGCGCCACCCCTGCTCCCCGTGCCAGCTGAACAGCACACGCGGGCCTCCTTCCGAGCGCTGCGCAAGAGCCGGGTCTGGGCGCCTGGCCGGGAAGGGCTTGCGCTGCTAGCCCAGGCGGGCGTCCCGTCCTGTGCCCGTTCCTGTGCCAGAGCAGCCTCGGCCTCTGGCTGGGCTCCGGCCAGTGGGGGCGCCTTCCAAACAGCAGCTCTCGGGGGGGCTATTTTGGATTTGCAGCCTCTCTGCTGAGCCCCGCCATCGGTCTGCCCGCCGTCCGGGGTCCCGTCCTTCATCGGGGGGCTGTTAGAGAAGAGCCTTGGTGTTCCTGTGCCCCTTTTTGCACGACACCCCCCGAAAAACGTTTGCCCCACTTCTTTTGGGCCAGCTCTAAAGACCTTTTGATTCCAGCCAGGCTCGGCTGTTGTTGTGTGGTTGTAACAGTGTTTTCTGCTACCATTTTATTTTTGGTTGGTTTGTTTTTGCAGATTTCTCATGTATTTATGTGTCGCTACTACTGTTGGTGTCACGATGTTTCAGGACTCACATATTTGTGTGGTGGTTATGTGATTTTTACAGAGGCTTCTGGTAAACCTAACCCAGCGTTAACCAAAATAAAGTTCACAGAGCGTGTTTTGCCCAAACCAATAAGCCATTACAGCCAGTTGTTACTTGAGCAGTTTTATCCCTCCCTCCCTGCCTCCCTCCCTGCCTCTCCCCTTCCCCTCGGATATCCACAGCTCTCCCTGCTCCTCCTGCCTCTCCCCCCACAGCCACCCTGGGCTGGCCCAGAGCCATCCGGGGGCTTCCACGAGGCTGTGGGGACGGATGGACCTGAACTCGGGGCTCCCTTGCCCTGGCCGTTATGTCCAAGCCAGGCAGGGCAGGTCCTGGCCCCTCCCATAACCCTAGTCCTGGTCACTGGTTCCCCCTCAAAAGTGGCTCTCTCCTATTCGGCCCCGGGCGGGTGCTGAGGGCCCCTAGCTAGGGAACCTCCTGATGTTCCTGAAGAGGGGGCCCCCATTCCTTGCAGGCGCCTCCTTTCAGGGCTGGGGGTGCAGGGAACGTGCAGGGATGCTGGCCCTGCTTCCAGGGAGGGGGAGGGGGGCACGCCTCCGCCGGGGAGCATCTCTCTCCTTCTGCTCAGCTTTCGGCAGCATCAGACTCCTGCCAGCCCCTGCTCCCCTCGTCAGAGGCTTTTCTGAGCAGAGTTAGTGCCAGGGGGAGGACTGTTCCCGTGCCAAGGGGCAGCCGAGTGGCCAGAAGAGAGCAGGGCATCCAGCAGTGACTCCAAAGCACCCCTCGCGGCTTATCTGACAGAGCCAGCAACTGAAAGGGGCCTTGGGCAGTGCCCCAATCCCCGCCCTTCCAGAAATGGGATGTCTCCTAGAGATAAGGCCCCCAAGGCCTCCCGCTGCAGCAGATTCAACAGTTGCTCTGGCTCAGGGGCACCTTCTCCAGAGAGGTGAGTGGTCCTCTCACTCCGGCGTTTCCAAGACCTCTGGCTCTCCCCAGCCACGAAAGCCACGCCAGCAACCATTTCCCTGGGCTGCTCAGCCAACAGGTGTGTCCTCTTAGCTTGCGTGCCTGAGAGCCCCGGGGTAGCCCATGGACCCTGGGCTTCTTGTCCGTGGGAGTGAAAGCCCGGGCTGGGGAGCGTGTCACCTTTGGCAGGGCTGCGTGAGCCCTGTACCCATCCGGTCCCTCGTGAGTGTGGCCACGGCAGCAGAGAGCAAGAGTGAGTGCCGGGTTGCTGGGCGAATGTGAGTTGACCAACTTGCTCGCATTCTCCTCTGCAAGAGTTTTACGGGCTCTGATGCTTCTGCACCTCTCTGGATTGCGAGCGCTTGCTTCTTGCGCGTAGCTCCAGTCTCTTGTGTGCTGCTTGCTAGGAAGCTGTCCGGGGCTGCCCGGGGCCTCCCAGAAGGCGCTTAGCACCCGACTCGAGGTGGCGGGGCTGTCTGGGCCCGGGAATTTGGGCCCTGAAAGGAGCTTCTGGCGGAGTGACATCTGATGCGCCCTCCAGCTCCCCAGGATGGGGGACCAGTGGGAAGCCAGCCCATGTCCGGCTGGACCTCTGGCCACCCCCAAGTCAAGTCTGTCGAGATGTGGCCCAGCTCCGGATACTCTAGAAAATGAGGCACTTTGAATCTTGACTCCCTTCCAGAAAGCAAAGCTGATCTGGTTGCACCTCTGAAGAAATAGGGTTTCACTGTCTGCTTGCACCATTACAGTATTTAAATTTCATGTAATTTAAATAAATCATGTACTTTTAAGTAAATCATGATATAAAACCTCAGTCTGGCAGCACTGACCAACTGGCTGGTACAACCCCTTACGCATTTGCTCAGAAGGAAGTGCGCTGGCCAAAGGATTTACAAGGATTAAAACAGCAGGTTGAGAAGCTCTAAGAAGGATGGACTAACTGACTTAAGTCCTCCTAAAATTAGGAGGCCTCAGTTGCAGAGGGCTGTGCTAGGTGCAGATGCTGTCTTGAAAAAGGCTCAGTGCTGTTGGTTTCTTCTAGCATGTGGCTCAAGAACACCGTCCTCCTGCTCCTCCTGCTCCTCCTGCTCAGGACTGGCCAAGGGAACCAGGGTTGCAGTGGGAGACCAAATGACAGCTGCCCCTATCAAGATGTCTACACAAGAACTAGAGATATCACAGAGATCCCAAAGTCAGTAGCTTCTATTATCTCTGAAATGTTTTTTGTTGAGACCAGCCTTGTAGAAATCAGAGAGGGAGCCTTCCAAAACATGCCCAACCTAGTGAAAATTGAATTTATAACCAACAAGATTAGAAGAGTTGAAGCAGGAGCATTTGATAACTTGGAGAAACTGGAGGATTTGGAAATAACTGGGGCTGAGTTAGATTATCTCCCCGTGGGCAGCTTCCGATCCCTCTCTAATTTGCGGAGAGTGAACCTGAGGGACTCCCATATCAAAAGGATTGAAAAAGGACTCTTTGATAATCTTGGGAATTTGGAAGAGCTTTATCTGCATTTGAATGAAATTCCTTCTCTCCCAGATGGGGTTTTTGATGGGCTTCCTAAACTCACCTTATTACATCTGGCAACGAACAAGATTTCAAACATCCCACAGGACATCTTCAAGCAACTGACACAGTTGAAGACTCTTCGACTGCAAAAAAATGAGATCACCAGTCTAGCGGAGGGGAGTCTGGACAGCCTGCAGGACCTGATGGAGCTCAACCTTCAAAACAATAGGTTTCAGACTCTGCCACCCAACTTGCTAAGACAGCTGACGAACCTGGAGAAGCTTTTTCTGGACCATAACTTGATTGAAGTTCTCCCAGATGAGATATTCCTTGGACTGAGAAAAATGAAACAGCTGAAGATAGCTTCCAATCGCCTGAAAGCAGTCCCGGCCTTGGGTGCCATGCCTCTGCTCAAGGAGCTGGACTTGAGCAAAAACAAGCTCTCTTCCCTGGAGAATTTGGCATCGGCTTCTCTCCCAACACTGGAAACTCTCAAGCTGCAAGGAAACCTTCTAGAGAGCGTTCCCACGGGTCAGTTTGACCACTTGGGAAAACTCACTTCACTGTACCTTGGTGGCAATCCATGGAGATGTGACTGTCATCTTTTCTATCTTCATCAGTGGATAAACAATAACACCAAAAGAATAAAGGACGCCAACATGTTAATCTGCAGAAGCCCGAGCAGTCTGGCTGGGAAAGGGCTCAGTTCACTGACCAAAGACCAGTTAGTCTGTTTAACGACCACACCCATGTTAACCACCTTTAAAGTCACACCATTGCCCATGTCTGCTTCTCCATCTGCCAACTCAGCAAGGAAAAGCATGGCAGGTGCCCTAGTTCAGTCCACCATGCTCCATGGGACCATCACATCTGGAACTTCAGCCACAGCTCCCCAAACCAATCCTGCTAAAAGCAGACAAGTCATGGCTACCAGCAGGTCATTGCCTGGAGCCATTCCTACAAGCCCACATGCCCCAGCTTCAAGCTACCCTGTCACCCCCACTCAGGGATCCACTTCTACCAGGACAAGTCCTGAAATCACAAGCCATCAAGCCATAGCTTCCACGAGTACTCCAACCACAACCGAAGATGTCACAACTGTCCCTGAGGTCTCTTCCACAAGCCATCAAGCCACAGCTTCCACGAGTTCTCCAACCACAACCGAAGATGTCACAACTGTCCCTGAGGTCTCTTCCACAAGCCATCAAGCCACAGCTTCCACGAGTTCTCCAACCACAACCGAAGATGTCACAACTGTCCCTGAGGTCTCTTCCACAAGCCATCAAGCCACAGCTTCCACGAGTTCTCCAACCACAACCGAAGATGTCACAACTGTCCCTGAGGTCTCTTCCACAAGCCATCAAGCCACAAGTTCCTGGCAGATTTCTACTCCAACAAGTGCTGGGACGCATCCTTGCACATCTAACTCCCTGGGTGTGCACAGCTCCAGACCCTCAGCTCCAGAAACATCTGCTAGGCAAGTAGTTACAGTGCCCAGCCCCACGCCCTCCACAGCGAGGCTGGCACAGACACTCATTGGTGGCCCAGCCACAGTGCTTCCATCTACAGCAAATCACACATTTTGCTCTCCCTCCTCCCTCCCTCCTTCACCCCAGAGTGCTGGGAGCCCCCTGTCCCCCAGCCCGCCATCCGTCCTGCCCCTGCGCCAGGCCTGGGGCTTTTCGCTAAGCTCCAACCACCGGTATTGCCAGGTGTTCCTCCTGCTGTATCTGTCCATGCTCTGCGTGGACATCTTCTGTGCTATAGTCTTAGGGAGTCTGGCATACGCGCTCCACACAGCCACGAGGTCAGTCAAGCTGCCTTCCAGGCCAGTGAGGCTGGTGCACATCAGGGCCAGAAAAGGGAGGCTATGAAGTGTTTGGGGAGCAGAGCACGAGCCCTTGCCTTCTGGGGCACCTCCCGAGACCCAGCACAAAGTGCCCTATTGCTGATGTGTTTCTTGCCGATACTGCTCATCGCCTGGACCCCAAAGGAGAGGCTGGGTGGGCAAACGGAGTGCACCAGCTGTAGCTCTACCTGGGACATGAGGACCTTTCTTGTCCTCTTCACCCTGTGGCTGGGCTACTACAAAGCACTTGTGGTGGTAAGAGGTCCCCCCCACACGTAAGCTGCATTCACTGCTAAACCTCTGGGATGTGCACACACGCACCCCGCTCCATATGAACTGCTGAAAGTGCCCTTGTAAGAAAACAGTGACAGCAAGCTGAACGACCCTGAGTGGCGACAGGAGGAAGAATCAGCCAGGCACCCATGCCCCGGGAAACCGAATTTCTTCTATTCACCAACCGTATCCCAGAGGCAGCATGGCTGGCATGCTGACTTCGTAGCAAGGGATAAATAATAACAAGGTCACATGGATGGGCTTATCGAAAACATTCCAGCGTCACGCCGTAACTTCCACTGGGTCCGCCGTCTTCTTTGTCCTGCCCTTGCAGTGCAGTGCAGGAGGTCAGAAGTATATAAACTCTGGTTCTGCTTTTGATCAGGGCTGCGCAGCAAAGTGCCAATGCTTTGCTGGGTGCCCAGGATGTACTGCATGCCTGCTAACGAAAATGACGTCCTATCTTCAAAGTGATTTGGTCGCTTCAGGTGAGCCAGGTTTTGGCCACAACACACTGGACATGGGGATGCTGTCGAAGACCACTCACAGGCTTCAACTCGTCCAGAATGCACTGGCCTAATTATTGGCCACCACAAACATATTCTGCCTGTGCTCTGAGCCCCACGCTGGCTTCCAATTAGCTTCTGAGTGCAATTCAAGGTGCTGGTTGTCTCCTGCATGGGTGGGCACCCAAGTATCTTCAAGGCTGTCTTCTTCAGCTCGAATCAGACCACCTAACCTGTTCTTCCTGGAAAAAAACACTGACAGTCCCTATTCTTGTGGGTCATGGAAGCTGAGTCTATGGGGTAGTAGCTGTTCTGCTCGAACTGAGGCTGGTCCTTCTAATTCAGCCTTTCAGAAACGGCTGGGAAAAAACAGAGGAATGCAGATGTTATGTCCGTTGGGTTTTATGATTTTATGCTTTCCACGTGTTACTTCTTTATCAGGGGTGTTTTGTTTCCTGGGTTTTATTGCTGGAAACCACTGAGAGTGTTGGGATTGCAGAAATCTGATAAATAAATAAGCAAGCACACTGGATTAATCAGACCGGGTGCTTTTGGCCGCTCTTTGGTGACAGACAACCAAGGGGACAGTCTGCAGCCATTTAACTGCAGTGCTTAATCGTCTTAGTGAATGAAGCCGTTTTCCAGGTTTGCCCGATACATAAAATGCCAGAGATGTGTGTGGCTCCCACCCTGATGACTTTCTGAAGCGTGTTGAAAAACTGGCTGTTCTCCCAGGCCTGGGGCAGGGGAGCGGGTGAGCCCCCGTACGATTCTGGGCTGCTTTGTACGGTTTTTCTCTTTCTGGACCCACATCCTTTGCTCCTTTATTCTACTGGCCTGGCTTTTTATAATGTAAACACCTAGAGTTGCTGGGCGTCGGGCATTTGTTATGTAAAAAGATAAATAAAAATAAGTCTAAGCAAACCAGAGAGGCTGGCTTTGCAGAGCTCGCTCAGCCCCAGAAAAACTAGCAGCACCCCTTCTGTGGCCGCCTTACGGCCTGGAGCCAAGGAGTGGAACCGCCGCCGTGCTCGGGACCTTCTTGGGCAGAGGCTCTGCTGGGAGAGGCTGCCTCCTGGGGGAAAGGGGCCCCACCGGGCAAGCCCCCAGGTAAGACCACCGGCCAGGGCGGGCAGAAGTCACGCCCCTCCTTAGGACTGGCTGGAGCTCAGCGCAGGGAGACGACGGCCGTTCTGCTTTCACTCCGCCCCGGCGTTGCGGGAGGGGGGGCCGCGATGGCTCGTGTCGGCCCGGCCAAGTTGCTGACCGCAGTCGATGGGAGCGCGGCGAAAGAAGAGCGCGCCGTCCCTGTGCGGTAGTCCGCTGCTGTGATCCCCTGCTGGGGAAGGAGGGTTATCTCTAATAAACGGAACCATGGAAAGGACCCAAGTAATTTGAAGCTCTGGTGGGCGTGGAGGGGTCTCTTCCGTGGAACCCCTGCAAATAATGCGCAGTCCCCACGTCCCCCTCCTCGCCCGCGTTCAGGCCGGGAGGCCCCAAGCGAGCCACAGCGCCTCCCCTCGAGCCTTTCCTGCCTCGCCAGCGGAATCCCCAGCGTGGGCGCCGCCGGGACCCTCCTC